CCGTGATCGTTTTCTTATTAGTCGCTTTCGGGTACGCACATTGTAGGTTTCGTACGCGTACAACTGCACTTTTCCCGTAGATTCGTTCACTGCGCAGTAGATTTACATCTCCGCGGTCTTCCCGTCATTTAGCCAGTGTTATGTCTCGGTGCTCTTTGCCGCGGTAGCCGTGTTCCGTCTGCAGTTTTACGGTGGAATTTATTTGCGGTTTCCCGTATTTAGGGTATTGTTTGGCAGTCTAATTTCGAGTCGTCCTCATATTCGTCGTGTGTTTTTCATGTTATTTGTATAGTCCTGCATTCGTACTCAACTTTTCGGATCGTTTTCTGTGCAAGTCTAGAGGGTATTATTGCATTCGTGCTGTAGTTTGACCGTGTTTTTGTCTTTCTCATAGCGGAATTATTTTTTACGGTTTCCCGTACTTTGGCCAGTGTACCTCTGATCCATGGTGGTACCATCCTGCCCTATTTTAGGTCTCCCGTCGCTATTAGGGGTTAACATCCGTTTATCGCGGTTGTGTTCCGTCTTTCCTTCCGGATGGATATTCGTCATCCGCGATGATGATTTGCCGCGCTCCGTGACCAGGTCACCCATTTCGGATTTTTCGTGCCAACTTCCTCCCTCGATCTGGGTTTTGGGATCCTTGCGTGACGGAATTGACGAAATGGCATCGACGTCGGTAACTCGCGACACGGAACCTGCGTCCCCAAAATCTCTCGCTCTTCAATTCTTCCCTTGGGGGCCCCGCAATATATCCCTGTTTAATTATTTAATTACTTAATTATATAATTTCTGTCCCCTTTCTCTTCCTTACCTTTATTTCGTTTCACGTCGTCTAGTCACGCGCAACCTTTCATGCTAAAGGCCGACACACGTCGCAAATGATAGACAGACAGCATCGAGCAACGAGGCGCAGTCCTCGTCAGCGGTACTTATGGACCTATGTAGCGCAACTGAATGTGCTGTAGCGCAGGTCATGTATGTAAGTATGCAGCACGCACGCTGTTATCCATTTGCACACCTTTTCTACAGCAGCAGTGGCAACCGCCATCATGACGAAGGCCGACACACTTCGCAGGTGATTGACAGCATATATCATAGATGTACAACATACGTCTGCCGGAGTACTCGCAGACCTACCGCAGGCCAAGGGTTAGCACAGCTTTGGTGGCACGCGCGTATCTACAACAACAGCAGCACCCTTGATACGGCAGCACACAGCAACAGCAGTACGCGCCAGCAACGGACTTGCCTTATCACGTATGCATACGGCAACTAACTCTCCACAGGACATCGAGACATCACCCCACATACTGCTATGTGTAGTCTAGTGCGTGTCCCTATCCATCACAGCTACGGCAGGGGAGGTTGCGGGTTTTGGCGTGCACCCAACAGATCAATCTACACACTTTCAGTAGTTTTTTTTTGCAATTTTGGATACCGTGCCTTTACGCAATGTAAACAACGCATGCATGCTGTTGGAGTTCCGTATATTACGGAGTTTCCCCCCCGGTTTAGAGTTTACCCCCCACCCCCCCACCCCGGTGTTTGGCATAGGGGTTCTGGTTTTCGTCGCTTGGCAACAACAGTCGTAAAAAAAGCCGATCACAGCGACCCCCCTGTACTTTTCGGCGCGGGTGACAGAGACAACCGCTCGCGACCGTGGGAGGGACCAATCTTCACGTTCCAGAAACGTGTCCGCCGGGCAATGAGGAGGAGGAAACCCAGGACGAAGGACCGCCCTCACCAAACCTATTAGCGGCACGTAACGCGGGCGGGCAGGGCAGTAGTAGGCAGGGGGGGAAGAGTGCTGGGCGTGGCAAAAAAAAAGGGTTGGGCAGTGGCAAACGCAGGACAGACTCGGGAGGGCGTAAGACTAGCGGCGGTGATGGCGGCGTCGAGGACGGGTTCGGACCGGGTGGTGGCGGCGGCAGCGGGGCAGGATCGAGTTCGAGTACGGGTGGCGGCAGTGGCGATAACGGCGGTGAGTACCATCACGGAGCGGGTGGGGGGGGCGGTGGGCCCAGCGGTGGTGGCCGTCGTGGTGAGGGCGGGCACGGAGCGGGCGGGGGCGGGAGCGGTGGTGGCGGCGGTGTGGGGGGATCGAGAAGGATGGATGACGACAGTGGCAGTGAGGGCGATGAGAACGATCGCGGAGCGGGTGGGGGGGGCGGTGGGAGCAGCGGCCGTAGGGGAGGGTCGGGAGCGGGTCTGGCTGGCGGCAGCGGTGGTGGCCGTCGTAGTGAGGGCGGGCACGGAGCGGGCGGGGGCGGGAGCGGTGGTGGCGGCGGTGGGGGAGGATCGAGAAGGATGGATGACGACAGTGGCAGTGAGGGCGATGAGAACGATCGCGGAGCGGGTGGGGCGGGCGGTGGGAGCAGCGGCCGTAGGGGAGGATGGGGAACGGGTGCGGCTGGTCGCAGCGGTGGTGGCCGTCGTAGTGAGGGCGGGCACGGAGCGGGCGGGGATGGCGGCTGGGGCGCAGATGGTGGATATAACACGGGTGAGGTCGACAGGGCTCGTCGCCGTAAGCGGAAGTCGTGGGCTGGCCCAACGACGAGCCAACGAGACGACAAGGTGCTTCGCTCAGCACACATTCACAGCGACCATACGGTCGCCTCGATCGCCGAAGCGGCAGTCTGGGTGGTCGGGCGTGGTGGGGCGGCCGCCCTTGCTGGCACCTTGATCAGCATGCTCGGACCCAACGATGTGAGTATAACGCGATGCGTGTTATGTGGCGGTGCTACCCTGATCGGGTAGCGCGTGTAGCGTGCTCAACAGACATATGTAGCAGTGGGGTTGCAGCAGAGATTGGTCTGTTGAGCACTGATGGACATTGGTGTCGTGAAGCTGTGCCATTGTTTCACTGTCCACTCGGCACAAGCTATCGGGCGACCGTGGCGCAGAATAAACTGCTATTAGGCGATGGCCCTCTTATTGTTTTGTGAATGCAGAGCGTGGCTCGGCGTGTCGACGGTCTTGATGAAGGAACGTCGATTCGCGGCCCCGGCAATTACTTGTACATGCAAAACAAAATGCTGTCGGGAATACTAACAGCGGTGGGTATGAATGATGACAAATATGGAATATGGTTCGTCAGACAAACGCCGGATGTGTATGCCACACCGCAGCCTAAGTTAACTCCGCGTGGACCTAACCACTTTTTTTACCAACACGGTACCCTTTCTCGCCACCTTCTGCGTTATGCCCCCTGCTGGCCGTGCGTATTCAGGGACTCTCCTTCGTTCTTAAGAACGTGTCGGGTGGAGGAGCAGCAGCGGCCTCCAAGGGCAAGGACAACCGCAAGCCCCGTGACGAGGCCCGCATAGACGCTTGCTGGATGATGCTTCCATTCAGCGACGCAATGATCGGCTCAAACCAGACCCGCTACAACTCCGACGGCAACCAGAAAGGGTCTATTTCCAACAACATCTTCTGGCGAGCCGCGTCGCTCATCATCCACCCAAAAGTCAGCACGAACATCATCATCAGTGAGTGTCTCTCGAAAAACATATTTGGCGGAATGCTGTTAATACACCCCGGGGACCGCGCTGGCGGCGTGTCCACGAAATGGAATGAAATTCGGTGTCGGGAAGAGGAGGGGTGCAAAAATTGGGGGGCTATTGCTGATGCGTCCGCTATTCAGTGAGTGAGTGCGTGCCCGATCCTTTGACCGGTAGACTCCAGCTCGTTCCATCTAACAGGAACCAGATTGCCAATGTTGTCTTTCGAAACACTTCGGTGACGCCTGTGCTATCAAAAGCGAGCTTCTCGTAACCGTGTCTAGCGCATCGAGAGAATAGCGACGCATGAAAGTGAGGCATCATCCTGGAACCAAAGGAGTACTGATTTGATGTTGAGAGGAGGGAAAGAGAGGCATGGAAGAACGAGGG